GGTGGCTCACACCTGTAATCCCAGCACTCAGGAGGCTGAGGCAGGAGGATCGCTGTGAGTTCGAGACCAGCCTGGGCTACACTGAGTTCCAGAGCAGTCTGAACTACACAGTGAGACCCTGTCTCAAAAAATGAAAAAAAAAAAGTTTTTAGTTTGTAACAAGGTAATGCTAAGTTGCCCAGGCTGGGCTTGAGCTTCTGATCCTCCCTTAGCTTCTCAGGGTGCTGGGATTACAGGTATAAACTACCATGCACAACATACTTTTATTCTTTGACTGCTGCTGCCCTTAGAAACTTGTTCATGCTATGCATGTTTGAAGTTGACTGCTTACCTTACACGGTAACATAAAGGCTGGAAGTCACAGTGTGCTCCACTTCCAGGGCTTTTGCCCATGTAAGTTTTGCCTGGATTGTTCTTACCTGTGTATGCATTGATCACTCCTTCATTTCACTCAGTTTTGGCTGAAATGTCACCCTGTTAGTGAAATCTTCATTCACCATCGTGTATAGTTGGTCTGCGTAGAACCACCATTAGCATCGTCCTAATGTTTTCATAGGTTTTGCAATGTTCTGACACCTTTTTGACCCCCTGATGCCAGCCCCTGCGTGAACATTACACAAGACAGATCTTTATCATAGTATAAATTCAAATATCTGATAGCTTTAATAATTGTTTGGACTTGTGCTTTTTTAAAAAAATTGTATAAATAGGTTTACTTTGAAGATGTTTTTTAAAATTGAAGTAGACATTTTAAATCTCAAAGTGGGTTTTTGTAGAAATATATTTTTTCTTTTGTTATAAAATTGTACATTTTTAAAATAATTTTTCTCATTTTGTACTTGAAATATGTAGAAAATAGTATAATTTGGCATTTTCATTATGAACTGAATTTGGCTGTAATATAATTCTTTGAGTTATATTTCTTTGAAACATTTTTGTTTGGAGACAGGATCTTAATGTAGTTCATGCTGCCTTGAACTCACTATATATTCCAAGCTGGCCTTGAATTTGCAATGATCCTTCTGCCTCAGCCTCCTTAGTGTTGCAGTGTGCGCCACCATGCCCAGCAGAAGCAAGTATTTTACAATGGGAAATATCTTTGGGCTCAGATTAAACTTTAGTTAGAATGTTAGTACTAAACATTTTTTACTTGTATTCTGAGTTTTTATAAACAGTCTGTTAGGACTGAATGAAGCCATTTGTAATTAGCATCTGTTTTTCCCTCACCAGGAATGTCCTCTGGACACTCAGAACCCAGGGCCTATGGCACCTGCTGAGCCTTTCTTGACCTGCTTTTGGCCTTTTGTGACACTTCCTGCTTTACTCCCATATGGCATCTCACATTTTGTTTAGATGTGTTACATGCCTTTTTGTTTTGGTATATTTTTATATCCTGAATTCTTTGACCTTGAGCCTGGGTTTTTTTCCACTGGTGCTAATGATGATTCCTTGTAATAAGTATTTATTACAAAGAGTGAATGGATAACTTTAATTATAAACAGATTATCCAAATGACTTTAAAAAGTCAGTTTCAGATATTAAATGCTATACAAATAACATAAAAAAGTAGAAGAGCAAATATTAATTGTAGAAATACTTACTTAAAATGGACATGCTCATCTAGTAAATGCAGTATGCACTAAATCACAGAACAGAAAAAGGACAGTGATGCAAAAACTGGTAAAATCCTAATACAGTATGATTAAAGTAGCTAGTAGTAAGGTAGCAAAAGTAATCTTAGTTCTGCTAAAGGCGCTAACATTGTGCTAGGTGTTAATTAGGGAAATTTTCAGGCGCAGTAGTGAACACCTGTAACCCCAGCGATCCAGCAGGCGGAGGCAGGAGATCCACAGGGTTAAGGCCAGTCTGGGAAACAGGGAGACCCTGCTTCTGAAACAAAACAAGGAAACTAAGTTAAGGGTATCCAAGATATCTATACTCACTGCCACTTTCCTACATATTTATAATTACTCCAAAATACTACCTAGTAATGCAGGAAAACAAAGATAATGAGATCTAATTATGGAGAAAAAGAACTGATTTAGTATCTTTGTTGATAATGCAGACTTCTAGATTCTATCACGTTGCCGTTTCTTAGGCTGAAATTCTAAATACTTAATATTTGGCATTCTAAGTTTATTAAGACAGCAAGTTAATAAATGTTTTCAACATAATTGTGTTAGATGGCTGTTATCATTTTGTACAGTTTTTTCCTTTGAAATTGGTTGCACAGCCATTTGAAAGCACCTAAAGAAAATAGACTCAGTAAAATGTACCTCACAGAATACTAGTCTTATGATGTATCCCCTTTGAAAGTGTCTTCTTTGGACCCATAAATTTGGGGTGCTTTATATTCTATTTTGTCTTAGAAGATTCCCATTCTCATTGACCTAATAAAGTGTCTCATGCAGTGGTAGCTGTTGAGTAAAAAATCAGTTGAATAAAGAAAAAGTATTGCTAAAGAAATGTAACTTGGTTGCACTCAGTCTTTCTCCACTTTTGACCATGGAAACCTTTTTTCTTGATAATGCCTATTATATCAATCCAGGGAAGCACACCTTGTAAGCCTAACAGCTTGGCTAAAAAACTGCTGCAAAGTATGATTCACCCATCTTAGGGATGGCATGATTTACTTTTTTGTTTTTTTAAATTGATTTATAAAGCCTACATCTTATCTTTTGGGTTTAAACAATTGGCCACAGCTTCTGAAGGCACTTTTGGGGAAGAGTTTTATATATTTTCATAAACAGCTGTAGTACTGGGGGACCTGCTCCATTTAGAAAACTGTTTGGAATGGGCTGGTCTTCCGTAAAGCTTTGTGATCTTGAGTTGGGTGAACATAACTTCCAAGGGTGCTGAAGGTTGCCACAACTCGAAAATGCACAGTATGTTTGGTGTAACAGAAAGACATCAGGTGAAGTTTATTGAATTTACTGGCCTTGTGTTGCTGTGGGAATAAGTGCATTTTTTTCAGTAGATTCAGCATATGATTTTTAGAAGGGAAATTAGCAATTTATTTCTAGAGCTGGAGTTGCCTTTTTCTTTTTGATTCATCTGAGGAAAAAAAGATTACTAGTTGGATGCAACTCTGAAGAGAAAGTAGTTTAGGCCTGTGTTAAAGCTTGGAGTCCAGCATATCCAGATAAATGAATTCATTAGTAGTTCTGGTCTACTTAATTTTGCAAGCGTTAGTCAATGCTTTTGATTATTTATTTATTTATTTATTTATTTTTTGTACCGGGAATGGAACTTGGAACCTTGCACTTGTGAGGCAGGTGGTGGCACTTACTGGCTTGGTAATTTATTTGTAATTAAATTTATTATGTTGGCATTTGTTTGGAACCTAAAAACAAAGTAGAAGTATTAGTAATGTATGAATGAAACTTTCTTAGGTACTGAGAGCATGATGGAGCGAAAGGGAGTTTTTTTTTGTTTTGTTGTTTTTTTCTTTTTGGTACTGGGGATTGAACTCAGGCCCTTGTGCTTCACAGGCAGGTGGCGGAACCGCTGAGCTAAATCCCTGGCCCCAAATGGGAATTCTTAGGGGAACTTTTTCTAACTTCTGGTCAGCAAGAAAGAATGCATATAAAATAACCAGCTAGTGAGTAGAATAGCTCCTGTTTCCGTTTGGTGTCAGAGTTAACATTTCAGTGTAGAGATAGACTGCGAAGAGACAGGAAGTTTTCCATGTAGCAAGGGCTCAGCCTCTGTGCAAAGGTCCTTAGAGTGGGCCCTTCCCAGTCTGTAGTTCAGCTTGAGAGGCCTTGGGCCGTCTCATTTGAATTTGAATTAAGTGCATTTTCTTGGTAAAGTGAGGCCTGGGCAGCTGAGTGAGATGGTGTCTCAGGAAATGAAGGGCCTGGTCTGTGGCTTGGTGAGAAGGCTGTGGGGCCAATCCCCATTCCTTCATGATGCTGAACAACAGAACAAGGATAGTAAGAGATTCTCTTCATTTTGGGGGTTAAATTATATAAATGCAGGCAAGGTATTTATTACTGTGTGGCATGTGATACATACCCAGTAAATGGTAGAGTATCTGAATTTTCTACTCTCATTTTTATAGGGGAAGAATTCAAGGCCAGTTTAAGAGTTTTCTTAGATTTGGAGCGGATCTAAAAAACTTTGGAATTACAGAGCTGAGGATATTCTGTTTAATCAATGGAATTTTCTAACCAAATATTAATATTTTTAGTTGATTCCTCTTCCTACCCTAAAATATGTTGGTTCAGCTTTATCTAAAACCAGTATGGAAAATAATTCAGTACTTGAATTTGATAGTTGATTCTCCTTTAAAATTTGAGATGACTTGCTGAGAATTAACTTGTAGGTGCAGTTCAAATAGGAAACTAACCTGATACCCGTGTAGATATAACTCACTAAAATCAGTTTAAATACATATGACTGTTTTCTTGTAATTCTCATTTTATCCTAAAAGGAGACTCCCAGGAGAATATGTTTGCATGTGCACGTCTTTGCGTGCCTCTGTAGTTTTTGTTTTAATTTGTTGGATTTAATTAATATTTTCTTTGCATTTTCCTCCTCTACTTTCACAAAACAATTTTTGGTTTATACATTACCTTTCTGTAAATCATTTAAATGATTGGATTTTAGTTCTTTTACGTGGACCTACTGTAAAAGCAGTGTTTGATTTTTAACTTATGAAAGTGTTACGGTTAAAACATACGGTTTTATGTTTAAGCCATGTAATTCTTTCAAATGTGACAAATTAATGAACTATACATGATTTTTTTAAACCTAGAAATAATGAATTGAATAAACATTTTGTAGGATTTCTGGTAAAATAATACATGCATGATAAAGATAATTTAGTAAGGATTCGTTCCACATTTCCAATGTATATTCTTTTTAAAAAAGTGAGGACTTTTTTAAAACAAATTCAGAAGTGTGTTCTTAGACTCAAAACTATTAAAATAATTTGGTATAGGTGATTTTCAGTTGGTAGCTTTATTTCTTATGGTATTTTTTTTGTCTTTCTATAGGGTTGAAAGACACACAGAAGTCTTCATGGATATAGTTGATACATTTAATCATTTAATTCCTACTGAACACTTAGATGATGCCCTATTTCTAGGATCCAACCTGGAGAATGAAGTCTGTGAGGATTTTAGTGCAAGTCAAAATGTCTTAGAGGACTCGCTGAAGAACATGCTCAGCGATAAGGATCCTATGCTAGGATCTGCGAGTAACCAGTTCTGTTTGCCTGTTTTGGATAGCAATGACCCCAATGTCCAGATGCCTTGTTCAACAGGTAATTCTTACTTTTTTTTTTTTAGTCTGCAATTTAAAAATGAAAAGAATTTTCAGCAACTTTTTTTCCTTTTTGAACGATGAGGGTAGTGAATTAGGGTTCTTTCCTTTGAATGTAAAGCTGCTTTTCCAGGCATCAGAATTAGACTTTATAATGAATTTTCTTCCAAGGAGTGTAGAGTCGTCTTTAAGAGTATCACAGATGTAGGTAGAGAGGGACACAGGACTTGTCACCAGAGTGGAGTTCTTTGAGGATTCCCGCCCTTGCTATTCATGAGGATGTTGGTGCAGTAGTGTAAACGGACTCTCCCGAGCAGGCAGGGATGGCTTTGAAGGTTGGGAATCGGGCCTCTGTCCTTCCCAGCGCTACACAGCTGGTACATTCTTTGCTCCAGTTTTGTATGATATTTTATATATCTGCCTTAAAACCGGAGAAAGAACTCTAGACTGGTGCTGTCTTGTAAAGTAACCCCTTAGCCACAGGTAACTGTTGGTATCTTCAAATCTAGTCCTAATCAATGTGCTGTAAAATGCACAGTACAGTTTGAAGACTCAATGTGAAAACTGTTTCATCAGTTTTTAAGTTGCTTACATGTTAAAGTGATAATTTTGGATATTGGTTAAATAAAATTAATTTCGCATTTATTTATTTTTTGAGACCAGGTCTATGTTGCCTATTCCAGAATTCCTGGGCTCAAGCAGTTCTTTTGCCTCAGCCTCCTGGGTATCCAGGACAATAAACAGTCCGGGATTATTTTGGTTTTTCTTGAGCCAGGGGCTATTTGACAGCTTGAAGTAATGCATGTGATCTGTTACATTCCGTTGGACAGCACTGTTTCCGAGTGGTTGGAATAACAGGAAGAATGAGGACTGTAGCTGGCGCATGGCTTACATCTGCAATCCCAGCACTGGGAGGCTGAGGCAGGAGGATCACAAGTCAAACCTAGCTTGGGCAGTTTAGCAAGACCTCGTCTCAAAAAAGAGGCAGGGGATGTAGCTCAGTGAGAAGGCCGTGAGTTCAGTGCCCAGTACTGCAATAAATAAAGAAGGAAAAAAGAAGGTTTTTAACTTTCTGTAAGACTAAACTATTCTGAATTAGAAATTACTCTGGTGTCATGTTAGTATAGCAAAGAAATTACTATAAACTTTGAAGTAGTAACTGTTTTAGAAGTTGAGTTTGGGGAAAAAAAAAGAAGTTCAGGTTAGATAAAGGTAGATCAGTCTTACCATTCCCTAAGGTAATCCACGGGTTTATGTGATGTTGGTTTGTTTTTCAGTAATGCTAGACTCCACCTTAAGTGCAGTTTTTTTTCATTACCTTTCAACATTTTCTGTCTTTTAGTTATGTAGTAGGTGTGTGGTTGACCCACGAATGTGTCAGATTACTCTGCCTGAAGGCCTTAGCTTCTAATACCAGGAATCTTCTCATTTTAACCACTCTTCAATACTGGGGGATTTTGAATTGCTTGCTAATTATGTATCTGAATTATGTACATTTTGTTGTGTTATCCAATAGGCTTACATTGTTGTTGTATTCTAAATGTTCTAAAGCTTTTAAAATTTTGTTTATGTATACATTGTTTTAAGTTTTTTACTTTGGTCCTTGTGTCAGTACAGTAGTTCTAACTATCTTTATTGTTGTTATTAACACTGTAGACAGTCTTGGTCGTGTGGACGATGTTTCCCAGTTTAGTCTACCACCACGCCACACATTGATTCCATACTTCTACCAGGATGTGGGGTACAATCTGGAGTTGGAATTGGAACAGGTATCAGCCTGTTATTTCGACTCTCTAGTAATATAACTATTCCTACTTAGTGTCCTCTTTTAAAATTTGATTTTTGTTGAGTTTTTATTGATGTGGAAAGTATTCAGTTTTGGTTAACATTTCCTTTCCTGTTAGAAGAATTAAAACCCCCTCATTAGAGTATTTAACTTTTTTGAGTTTATTAGTACTTGTTTCTGATTCTGTTTTAAAGTTCAACTTATATAGCATTAGTTTCTGAATTTTCTTAACATTTGTTTGCTGTAATTATTTATCTTAGATTCTGGAACAAACTATATTCATATGTGCGTAGTATGTGTGTTTTTAAGTTGTCAGTTATATGAAGAAGCTTACAATAATGATAAAGCTCTTCAGTTTTGATTATTTAACTTTCTTTGTGCTATTAGGCAGGGGTTTTATCTTAATTAGTTCATAGGTCTTTTTTTGTTGTTGTTTTTTGGTGCTGGGGATTAAACTCAGGAACTCGAGCTTGCCAGGCAGGCACTATGCTGCCAGTCTACTACCCTGGCTCTAAAGTTCTTTTGGAATATTTGGTTCAGTAAAAGGCCTACACATTTTCTAATGACCACCAAATGTACAACACTTGAAAATTTTTTAATTTTTTGTTTTGGAAAATCAGATTTAGGACAGCTTTTTAAAGAAGAAATCTTATTGTAACCATTAATAACAATGTTTGGATGGTAACTTCTTTTTTTGGAGACAGAGTCTTGCTATGTAGTTCAGGTTGGTCTTGAACTCAGGAGGTAGCCCAAGCTGGCCTCTGAATTTGCAGCAGTGCTCCTGCCTCAGCCTTCTGAGAGCTGGTATTGAAGGCATGCACCACCATGCTTGGCCAACAATAACTTTTCAGGTATTCATAAATTACTTCAGCTTTTTATTGCAAAGTAAAAACACACAGTTCTTACCTGGTGGTTTTTACTTGAATCTATATGGTTTTTACTAATAGCCTTGACTGGAGAAGCCAAATAGGGAAATGTCCATATTCCTAAGGACAGGTGGAGCTGTGAATTGTGGTTATGATTTCCCAGCGCAATCAGCAGACCAGTAGCTGCTATATTTTGTTTTCTGTTATGCTGAACTAGATTGCTTTTTGTAATTGTTAAAAGGTGACTTTTTTGTTCCAATAGTTGAATGATTTGCATTGTTTCATTGCCTCCACAAGTCTTACCACAGCTTTAAAAGTTATAAAAGTAAGAAACAAAATTACTGTTAGTACTGTGAGATGCCAAAAATTGGGATGCTGATTGTTTTTGAGAGAACAGCCTGTAGAGCCCTGATCCTCTTTGACTGTGTGGTATTATTTTACAGAATGCTTTTAACTGTGGAAAGTACTACTTTGCATATAATTTTAAGATGTGCTGCCCAGGAATACATTGTAAAAGAAAGGAAACAGATGAATATTGGGTTTGAAATATTTGACCTTGAGTTTTGGCATTCATTGTGTTTTTTGTATGGGGGAGGGGTGGGATCGGGACCAGGGCCTTCACTGAGCTACAGCTTTTTTTAAAATTTAAATTTGGAGACAAAGTCTTGCCAAGCTGCTTGGTTTCCCAGGCTGGCCTTGAACTTCGCATCATCCTGCCTCAGCGTCCCAGAGTGGTGGGAGTACTTTGTAGGCATGTGCCACCTAGAAGTCATTTCTTTATGCAGTACATTGAAATTTTCTGTGACTGTAACTTGACTGATTTCACTATGTAGGCCAGTACTGCCCAGTGCACTGCCCAGTGACGCACACTGTAGATGTGTGCACCGAGAGCAGCCTTTTCTGCACACAGCATTGTACACGCTGGATTTAAGTGAAACCAAGATGCCCTTTTCCGGCTGTGCCATGGCTTGCAGAGTTACTCACTAAGTTAGAAACACTGCTCCTATGGCGTGGTTTTCAGAGATTAAGCAAATTTAAAAGATCATTGAACTCTTAGAGGTACCTTTCATATTTGCTAAGAATTGATTTATATCATGTACTTAAATGTTTCTGCAAATGTAAAGGATAATATCTGCTAACATGCACATTGTGATCATTTTCCAATCTTAAAAAAAGAATTTTAGCTTGTTCTGCCTTCCTTCGGAACATAATACAAATTGACTGGTTTCACAACTTTCTTAGCACTCATGTAATTTAGTCCCATTTTTTGGCACACACATTTTAAAATGACAATATACCTATATATGGGGTACAGTGTGATAATTTGGTATATGTATAGAATGTGTAATACTCGTTAATTAGCATTTCAGAGCTCCTCACTTAGTGTTTGTGTTGGGAAACTTGGAATTCTTTTCTTGTAGCTTCTTATGTAGTAAATCATTGTAAACTAAAGCTACCCTCCTGTGCTGTAGGGTATTAGAACTTGGCTCTTCTATCTGACTGTATTAGTATCTGGTAGTCAGTGTCCCTCTGCCTTCCATCCCCTTTACCTTCCTAGCCTTCAGTGACCACAGTTCTCTTTCTCCGGTGGTACCCACACTTGTAACTTCCCATGAGTGAGAATGTGCATGTTTGTCTTTCTTGTGCACATAGTTTTAATTTGGAATTGTGCCTTTGAGGTTTTAAGGTGCTCCATCATTAGAGACTGAATTTGAGTGTAATATTGGGAAATATACCACACTTGTTCTGGAAAAATGACTTTTGTGACCTTGTGTGTCACTGAGATTAATTTAGAAGACATTTGCAATTTCAGTTAGCTCCATGCTGCTTCATGGACAACATTTTCAATTGGATAATGCACCAACTCGAAGCATAGCAAGTATTCTCTAGTCCAGTCAAATCCAGTTTTCAGTACTTGTACTTTTTCTTGGGAGGTGTGTGGGAGCTGTTTGTGTAGATTAATTATAATTCATGATTTGTACGGGAACTCAATTTTTGTTTGTTAGTGTTTTGAAACTTGTTTTCTTTGATATAAGAGGTATCTCTTATACCATTGTCCAGACTTTTCAGAATACCTTTTAAAACAAGAAAATACAGATTTAATATGTGAAAAGTCATGCAGATACTATTAAAATATAGTCAAAGTGCATACTCTTCATTGAATATTAGAAAATTTTAAATGATTTTCTAAACAAATGCATGACTTTAAGAATAAAGTTTTATTTCTATAAGATTAATGTGACTGTTAAATGCCATTCAATATTTACTTTGGCCTTAATGTATTTCATTGCTTCTTTAAATGAAATACAGCTTAAAAGCAGTGTGATGATACCATGTGAATTGCTTTGT